CCCTTGGTTAGTTGTTTAGTCCCTTCACCTCCAGCTCTGACAGAAAACTGCACAGCCACCTCCTCACCCTGCATTTGCCAAGTGACAAGGAGTTCCTTGGAGCATCTGAGCTACAGCCCAGCACATCTGTAACTGGGCAGCTAGGGCCACACAATAGCACTATGGAATCGTACCTGAATCACCAAGGGTGACAAGGTCTGCAAGTCTGTCCCTTCTTGCAGGCTTATGTGGAAGGAGTCTGGCCCCTGTGGTGAACTGGGCCTGCTGGCTCTCATTCTACAGCTTGCATTTGGCAGAGCAGGATGACATTGTGTAACCATTTTTTTAAAAGATTTATTTATATGTCTGAATATTTTGCCTGCATATATCTGTGTATATATGCTTACCTAGTATCCAAAGAAGTCATAAGGGAGTGTTGGGTACCCCAGAACTGGATTTATGTATGGTTGTACATTATGCAGGTTCTGAGCACCAAACCTGGGTCCTCCGCAAGAGCAACAAGTGTTCTAAACAGCTGATGGTCGTGTGAATGAGGTCAAGTGGCTTGGGCTGTACTGGCAGCTCTTGGCCAGCCGCAGCTAAGAGCATTTGGATCTGGAAATTAATGAAGAGGATGTGTATAAAATGTGTCAGTGTCCTCAGCCCCATCCACATGATAGTAAGGCATCCACGTGAGGAGGTTCAACCTCTTCCAGCTTTGATAACACAGTAAAGTTCTACCAGGAAAAGGACAAACTGTGTCTCCCTGATGACCATGAATCCACTATATGGACCTCCGCCTGTGACTCCATTGGTCAGCACCTGGCATCCCACATTAATAACTATACAGTGTGTTTAGTGCCAGTATCTCCTAGGCAACAAACAAGGGTGACAGCTAGAAATATATCTGCATGTTAGGGGTTCTGCTCCAGCACCATTTATGACATTTAGTGTCATCTAACTGGGGCCCTCACAACAGCTTGTAGGGATGACACCATCATCTGGGTGTTGGAGTAGACTCCAGCTCAGATCTGCACCATCTCTGATAGTCCACCTGTATCTGCTGTTTCCCAGGATGTCAGCTTTGCATCCTAGAACTCACAGGAGCTATCCTTCTGCAGTGATGATGGGCATGTTGCCTCAGGAAATTCTGATCTCTGAGCTTCCAAAAAATTGGGAAGTTGTTCCACAAAAAATGCCCCAAGACTTTGCCAGCTCCTGAGAGTACCTGAAAAAGCAACCTTGAGCCAAGGCAGTGGTGGCACACTCCTTTAATCCCAGCACTCAGGAGGCAGAGGCTGGAGGATCTCTATCTCTGAGTTCCAGGACAGGTTCTAAAGCTACACAGTGCCTGGGGGGTCAGGGAAGCACATTTGACCTTCATTTACCTTAACTCATTTTAGTTGAGACTTGAGAAGTGTGGAACCACACAGCCACTTACTGTTCTGTCCTTGACACAGTAAAACTGCAGAAAATAAGTACATGCCACAGATTTTGCTGCAACAGGGAATGGTATTGATTTGGGGGGTGAATGTAGTGTTTATTTATTTTTGGTTTTTTTGGAGACATTGTTTCTCTATGTAACTGTGAAAGCCTCCAGATTTACTTAAAAGCAGAGACCTCGGCCTGTGCTATGTGCGTCTTTCCATCTTTATTCGTCTGCTGTTTTCTAGGGAGAGAATAGCCTTATATACACTTACAGCACAGTGGAAAAACCCCAGGCGCAAGAGCTCGTGTTTTTCCAGGTGTAGTGGGTGAGGCTGGGGCTATAAGCCAGGACTAGAACGCAGGATGTGCTTGTGGTTATTGGCTGACAAGCAATTCAGAGACCCCGTGTGGGCTAGGACCCAACATGTAACACTCTAAGTGTCCTGGAACTCTCTTTGTAGAGCGACTAGGCTAGTTGAGAAGGTGCGGGGATTGCCTAGGCTCTGGGTCTTGTCCTCAGTGCTGCATTTGTGCACATCTTCAGTCTTAGCACCAGGGAGGTGGAGACAGGAGGACCAAATGTTCCAGGTCTTCCTCAGGTATATAAGGAGTTCAAGGCTAGCCTAGGCTAGAGATTATAAATAAGTAAATGAATAAAATGGAGGTGATTTTTAGAGCCATCTATAAATAGAAAAACATCTGGTGACTATTGAGAAATGACTTGATATTACCTGGGATCAGTTTTCAGATTCATTGAAATCTGTCAAAGGACTAACGATCCCATCCCCCCCACGCCCCCCCCCCCAGAAATTGAAAAGTAGGTTGTAAAATTCTTTATGGAAAAAAAATTACCAAAAATAGTTAAAACAGCTGGGCAGTGGTGACACACATCTTTGGTTTGTTTTGTTTCAAGACAGGTATTCTCTGTGTAGCTTTGGAGCCTATCCTGGCACTCACTCTGGAGACCAGGCTGGCCTCGAACTCACATAGATCCTCCTGCCTCTGCCTCCCAAGTGCTGGGATTAAAGGTATTCGCCACCAACGCCCAACTGTGGCACACAACTTTAATCTCGGGATTTGGGAGTCAGAGTCAGGCAGATTTCTGAATTCAAGGGCAGGCTGGTCTACAGAGTGAGTTCCAGGACAGCCAGGGCTGTTACACAGAGAAAACCTGCCTTGAAAAACAATAAACAAATAAACAAATAAATAATAGTTAAAACAGTCTTGAAGAAGGACCAGAGTACACGTTTCACACTGATTTATTTTAAACTTATGCAGTTTAGTTGGGTTGGGAAAATGGCTTAGTGGATAAGATTTCTTGCTGTTCAAGTATGAGGACTGGAATTCATTAACAAACACCCACCTAAAAACTAAACATGTCAACACATGCTTGTGACCCCACTGTTGAGTGAGGGTGGAGATTTCAGTGGATAGTTGTATAGCCTACCCAAAATGGAAAGCTTCCAGTTCCCTTTTTTTAAATTATGTTCGTGAGTGTTCACCCTCCATATGCATGCAGGGTCTGTCTGCTGGGAGCAAAAGAGGGCATCAGATCCCCTGGAACTAGAGTTACAGTTGTGAGCCACCATATGGGTGCTAGAAATGGAACCTGGTTCCATTAGGAGCAACAGGTGCTCTTAATGACTGGCCATGTCTCTCTTCCTGAGAGACCTTGTCTGAAAGGAATAAGGTGAATAGAAATAGGGAAGATACCCAACTGACCTCCTCTAGCTTCTGTATACAGCGGTATGAATATATACCCATGCAGTCCATGTACATGTACCACACACACACACACACACACCAAAAATAAACAGTTACATTTAAAATAGTTGAAATGGCCAAGCATGGCCTATAATCCCAGCTTTCTAGACACTGAAGCAGAGTTTAAGGGCAGCTTGAGCTATAAGGTGAGATTTTCTTTGAAAAAAAAAATTGTCAGATGTTGTGCTCTTCAGATTTTACTCTGTGTAGCTTTGGAACCTGTCCTGTAGACCAGGCTGACTTAAACTCACAGAGATCCGACTGCCTCTGCCTCCTGAATGCTGGGATTAAAGGCCTGTGCCACCACCTCCCAGCTCACAAAGGACTCTCAGTAAGAAAATGAACAACCCAATTCAAAAATGGGCAGAGTCCCTGAACTGACATCTTATCAAAGAAGAAACAGAAAGGAAAACACACTTGAAAGGCACTAGGTGTTGTGTGTCATTGGAGAGTTGTGCCTTAAAGTAAGGACAAGGCACAGCACTAATGCTAGCTGGGCTGAGGAGCATGCAGTGTCTTACAGAACCAAATATACTCTTACCATACATTACAGCAATTATATTCCTTAGATTTTTATCTGGAAAACTTAACACACATTTACATGAGTTTTTACCCTGCCTGCCTCTGCCTCCTGAGCGCTGGGATTAATTAAAGAAATAAAAGAAAGAGAAAACTGACACAATTTATCCCTTGACCTCACCCTGCCACACACACATGCACACATAAATACATACATGTAATCCAAAGTTTGAGACCAGTCTGGATCACATACTGAAACACTTTCTCAATAAGTAAATAAATACATTTCAAAGGGAAAGACTGAGAAGTACTTGAGGCCACCCTGGGCAACATAACATGACCTTGTTTCCAAGGAAAATATAACTGAAAAATTATTCTACATTCATTTATTTATTTTGTGTATGGGCACACACATGCTATGGTAATGCATGTGATATCAGAAGATACTCTGGACTATGTCACTTGTTCAAAAAATAAAATGCGTTAAAAGACATAGGGCCAGATTTGGTGGCTAAGACCTTTAATCCCAGCACTCAGGAGGCAGAGTCAGGCAGATCTCTGTGAGTTCCAGCCAGAGCTATTCAGAGAAACCCTGTCTCAATAAAATAAAATAAATTCTCTTGAAGGGCTGGAGAGATGACTCAATTCGTTAAAAGCACTGGCTATGCTTGCAAATGACATAGCTTCAATTCTCAGCTCCTTCATGGTGGCTCACAACTGTAGCTCTGATTCTAAGGAGTTCATCACCCTCGTTAGACTATTCAGGCACCAGACAGGCACACAGTGCATAGATGTACATGCAGGCAAAAACCCCACATGCATAAAATGATTTTTTTAAATAATAAAAAGAAACCCAGCAAAAGTTTACTATGTTCATTAAATTCTTGCCAGCCACTAAAGCTTATACTTTCCAAGCCATGAATAAGAATATAAAGAAACCAAACTGGCTGCCTGTGGCAGGAGTAGAGCACCTGTCCAGCATTCATGAAACCCAGCACTGCTAATGGAAAGAAAGAAAGCCGCTGGGCGCAGTTCATGTTTGTCACCCCAGCAATTACAGAGGAGGCGGCAGGAGTGTCTGACAGGGCTACCTAGTGAGACCTGGTCTGAGAACCCAAAAGGAACAAGAGAAAGCCATCAATTAAGGCGAACAGCTGGTGTGAAACTGTAGCAGAGTGCTTGGCTGGGGACCTGAGCTCCATTCATAGCTCTAGCAACAAGGAATTTGATAAACAGGGTTTTGACTTTTCAACTTAAAGGAATGTGTGAGTGGAAGCAGGCATGAAGAATCCTTTTTTTTCTCTTTGCAGGTTAAAGAAGAAAGAGTTTAGTTTAGAAGAGATATATACAAACAAGAATTACAAGTCTCCTCCTGCAAACAGGTAACTCCTGTGGCTGGGCTAAGGGGTGGTGCTAGAATGATTGATCCTCTCACCTTTCTCACTTAGAAGCTTCTATGCACCTCTACCAGGTATTGAGCAGGGTTTGGTGTAGCTTCCCCTACAGTTTGGTTTGGTTTTTGTTTTTTTGTTTTGTTTTGTTTTGTTTTGTGAGACAGAATCATTACGCAGGCTTGGCTAGCTGAAAATTCACAGATCTACCTGCCTCTGCCGAGCTCTGGGATTAAAGGTGCTTCCTGTCCAGCCCAGTATTGGACTTTAGAAATAGCTAGACTTGGGCTGAAGAGGTGGCTCAGGGATTAAGAGCACTGGCTGCGCTTCAGAGGTCATTCTGGCCTGCAGGCAGGGCACTGTAAAAATAAATAAATAAATCTAGAAAAGAATTATCTACAATTGGGGTTTGGGTTCCAAATCCTTGAATCAGAGAGGAAGTGTTTGTGAGACTCTGTAGTCATAGATGTCTGTTTACCTTGCACCTGTGTTTTACTGAATACACTAAGTAGCTTCATCTGGGCTGTTAATTACTGTTTCAAACATGATTTCAAGCCCAAATATAGAAGCAGTGTCACTTGGCCACTTTTGAGTTAGTTTGAAGCAGTGACAGTTATTGACTATTTTGTCTGGGACAAAGGAAGAGAGTCATGGTAATTTCTCCTAGGATTTTGTACATGGGCTCTGCCTAGAAGACATTTACTTATAGGACACTATTCATTGCAGCGTTGCTAATAGGAAAGAACTAGGAACAACTGAAAGTGTGCTTTACTAGGGTTCTCATTCCGCTATGGTCTGTTTTTATATATAATGAAATATAATGCATAGCTGTTGAAAATGAATCAGTGTTGTATTAAATGGAAACAAGCTTCGGGGTCTTTCCTAGGTAAGAGGGACCCCACTGCAGGACAGTGTGTGTTGCTTACTGCTGTTGGGAAGATGTACCATCACTTAGCAAATTCTAGGCCTATTCAAGGCTTGTCCCCAAACCAGGTGCCCCTCCCTCAGCCTTCCTGGTAATTGGTATTATAGACTTGCATCACCATACCTGATTTTCCTTTTTTGTGTTGTTGTTTGGTTGGTTTTTGAGACAGGATTGATCTGTGTGATCCTGGCTGTCCTGGATCTTGTTCAGTACACCATGCTGGCCTCTAACTCAGAGGTTCACCTACCTCTGCTCCTCCTGAGTGCTGGAATTAAAAGTGTGTGCTTCAGTGGCCCAGCCTAACTTTCCTTTTTTTAAAGACCATGCTGAAAGCTGGGTGGTGTTGCTTCACACCTTTAATCCCAGCGCTCAGGAAGCAGAGACAGGTGGATCTGTGAGTGGGAGGACCAGAGCAAGTTCTAGGACAGCCAGGGCTACACAGAGAAACTCTGTCTTTAAAAACCTTAAAAAAAAAAAGTTGATGTTGCAGTCCCCATGTGTGGTAGACAAACGCTACCACGAGTTCCCATTTGTTTTGTTTTATTTTTCATTATTTTTATGGTTTGTGAGCTAATAGCTTTGATCACAAAAGGAAAACTCAAAATTGTGGTAGAACTCCATGTGGCTCATGGAATTTAAAAGGGTTACTGTCTGGAGCCTGGTATGGTAGATAAGCATGTCTTGGAAGGCAGAGGTAGTGGGTGTCAAGAATTTCCGGTCCTCCTTAGCTACATAGGGAGTTCAAAGCCAGCCTGGGCTGTGTGACAAAAGGTTTTGCTGTTTGCCCACTGCCAACTACTATGTTACTTAATGTGTCTACACATTTACTTTGAAGAACATACAAAAAACCAGCAGTTACCTGTATTATACATACAGGAGTTTGTATACCCTTAAGTTTGAATGTTTTCCCTTTGTGCACATACTTATAAAACATGTGTGCCTTTTCCTATGCATAGAAATAGCCGGCCACAGGAAATAGTCAAGTTGGGAATCAGTACAGGCAGCATTTGGTTGGTGTAGTGATCCAGACTGGCTCTGTGAGGCCACGTCTTAGTGATCAGAGTTGTGCTCTATCCTCAGGTGTTTAGAGACCATCTTTGAGGAACCCAAAGAACGAAATGGTACACTCATCTCTGTCAGCCAGCAGAAAAGGAAGCGTGTGCTGGAATTCCAGGATTTTACTATCCCCCGAAAGAGACGAGCTCGAGGTAAAGTGAAGCTGGTGGGCAGCTTCACAAGGGCCCAGAAGGCAGCTCTGCAGACTCGAGAGCTGGACGCGCTTTTGATTCAGAAGCTGCTGGAACTGGAGACTTTCTTTGCCAAGGAGGAGGAGCAGGAGCAGTCAGCAAGCTGCTGAAAACACTGCAGCGTCTCCATTTTGAATCTTTCAGACCTCCCTGGAAGGGGCTCCCTGATTTTGTCCTATGCCCAAACCACTCACAATGCCCAGTCCGTGAATTTTTACTTATTTCAAGGTGCAGCCTTTTTAGGAGCTGGTGAAGAAGGTCCTCTAATTCTACTGCTGAGTATAGAGCCTCAGGAATGCTCCCTTTCTCCTGGGAATGGTCCTGAGTGACATCAGGCCACCTCCTTCCCGTCTCTCCCATCACAGGTGGAAGAAACCACACATCGTAAGCAACACTAGGAATCTAAGGACTCGGTGTTTGTTTGTGCATCCACATGAAAGTTCCTCTCTGTTTATGGTGCTGCTTGACCAAGACTTAGAAATCTGGCCTGGGGGCTCCTGGCCACATGGCCTGTGTGTTCCCACAAGCTCTTTTTAGTGGTTGAGAAGGATGAACTGATTCTGTCTGCCCAGGACCTTTAGTCTGAAAGAATGTGTGTGTTTGTGTGTTTGTGGCTTTTCCCCATCTCTTCTCCCATCTGTGACTGGGGGTCACTAGTGCCAGAGGAGCCCGTCCAGGCCCCAACGTAAGTTGCACTTTTTTAATGTTGTGGTGTTGATTATTTTCACTTTTTTGTTTTTGTATTATTGCTGCATGTTTGGGGTCTCTAAATGTGATTTTAAAACACTTTTAAGACATTAAGGAGAAAGACAATACATGTCTTAAGAGAACATGTGACAGGCATTTGATCAGCACATGGATGGGGGCGTGTTCCAATTCATGTGTTTCAGGCAGCCCCTCCCCGTCTCCAGTTTCTCATGTAGCTCATTAGAGGAAGCACTTTTTCATCCTCCTTCTCAGTCCTGCCCACTTAGCACACATATCTGGTTAGTGACCTGTGTAAAAGCAGATCTCTCACGTAACCATTTAAAGAAAGATTAAGGTTGAGTGTGGTTTTTCTTTGAAATGTGTGTATGACAGAGTTGGGAACAGTGGTGATAGAGACTGGCCCAGAGCATTTGCAGCTGCTTGAGTGCCTGCTTCAGGAGTGGGGGATAGTTGATTGATAGACGAGACCTAGTGATCCATTCCTTCAGCAAGATACCCAAATCCCAGAGCCAGGGCTCTCTGAGAGTGCCTCATGTACTCTGGTCCTTTGTCAAACCTACTGGAAATAATTGCATGCTAAAAGTAGTGCAGTTTCTAGGTTTGTCCCCAAAAGGAGTCTGCAGGCAGTAGGCTACCGAGTCTGAGCAGCAGCCCCACAGAGCTCATCTTCCCACTGTGCCCTCACCATGCTCCCTACTTTCCTCTTGTTTTCTCATTCCAATCTCTCTCCTGCTCTTTACACCTACCCTACAGTTCGTGTTCAAATAGTTAGCATTCCTGGCTGATGAGTACGATGTTCTACCCAGCCATTGGACATTGGTCACCTCTTCCCATCCTTCTAGCTCGGTCCAGGAATGTTTCCTGTCTGTCTGTAGAGAAGAGTGAGTGGTGCTGTGCTGGAATGTTAGCCGGTACTCTTAGGATTCTTTCATCCCTCTTTGTTAGTGGCTAGGGAGAAGGGTGCAGTTTTGAGGTCTTTTCGTGCCTTTCTTTGTAGGTTGATGGTCTGGGCCACACTGGAACAGAAAAATAAGATGTGAGCAGAGGGAAAATGTACCATGACCTTCACCACCTCAGCTGTTAAATAAGTTAACAGACACTTGCTTGTCTGGGAGGCTTTGAAGGTCATGATCCCATAGGATTAGAAGAGTGTGGGCTAGCACACCGATCCTCAGTGATGTGTGCAGAAGTGTTTAGTACTAAGTACTAAGACACTGTGCATTAGACAGCTTTCCAGCTAGCAGGCAGTAGACAGCCATTCATTAGTTTCACCACCAGATCACCCAGGAGACAAATGGTGAGGTGTGCACAGCTGTGCCACCAGCAAGATGACAGCAGACCTTCAGGATTTGCCCCTGACAAGTATGGATGGCACTTGAAAGGCTGGGAGCACTGGCCTGGAATGTGACAGGACTAGAGAGACCTAGCTCCATCCTTGTCCTGGGAACGTAGGGGGAGCAGTTGTTCTTGGCCTTCCCTTGATAAAGGCTCTTCTTTTTCCAAGTTAAGAGAAATTGACTCATTGAGTAATTCCATACTCAGCCACACCTGTTTACTGTCCAGTTTCACACCCATCAGCCAGCCTCAGGGACACATCAGTGTCCTCAGAACCTGTGGCCTCTGACTATGATGGGAGATGCTGGCAGTTGGCATGTCACCTGCCAGAACTACAGATCTGTTCTGGGATGGAAATTGGTAGAATTTCTAAGGATAGGGTGTCCCCATCTCAAGTATAGAAATTGCCATTAAACACAACTTAATAGCGCTCACCTCCGAAGTTACGGCTATGGGGAAAGAAGAGATAGCTCAGGTCCAACCAGATGTCAGTCGTTTCCTTTGCCGTCTTTCAGTTTCCAGCTGTAGCAACCTCCTTCCCTCCATTAGTGCCTCTCTTCCTTTTCTCTCCTGCTGTCCTGTTCAGCTTTTCTCTCTGTTCATCTGGATGTACCTCATCACCTGTTAAAGTAGATTGTGTCTGTCTTCCTGCTGCCCTTAATATAAGAGCTGACTGAGAGGGAGGGAGGGATAGATGTGCAGTGGAAAGATGTGTAGCTTTTGCCTTACTTGAGCCTGAAGAGCTCAGAAACTCATGCTGTGAATCCTGAACTTTGTGCTCCTCCAAGAGCTGTGAAAATCATGACATTTTTTTTTCACAATTTTGCCTGAAAGGGTCTTTTGTGAGGGCTCCAGAGCCAACCTGAGGTCAATTTTAGATCCCACTCTGTGGGCATCCTTCTCTGGGACATATCCCCTGCCCACTAGGTTAAGAACAGCAGCAAGTCTGCGGGACTGTGGCAGCAGGTCCAGGGCTGCAGTGCAGCCAAGTGGACATGGCCCTTGATCTCCCAGGCTGGGGCTCCACCTCCTCTGTACCATGTGCATTAAGATCTGTGCAAGACCAACTTTTAGGTCGTGATACTTTCCTCCTGGCACCTGAGGGGAGGGGAGTATGCAGTTGGTGCTTTCTTTGATCCCCTTGTTTTATTTCTATAGCTTTCCCCCTGGTATCATGAAAAGGGCCTTTTTAATCACCACACAATGGGTGGCTGTATCCAAAGCATAAATAATTGGCCAACGGTATGGAATGTCCTCACCTGGAGGTGAGAGCTGCTTTCCTGAACTGAACTTCGATATAGAACTGGCTAGGGAGACTTAGTTTTGTTCAAATCACTATTAATATTCCCTTTTAGCACACGTTGGGCAGCAAAAGCTTTTTCAGTTGTGAAGCTGGGGTCCTCATCTAGCCACCATCCAGCACAACATGCTGAGATTTCAAGCATGTTCTGTCTTTACAAGACTGACTGTCTAGTGTTGAATTTGAATTCTCAACAAGAAGCCCCCTTGAGCTGGTATCTGGGCCAGTAAGTTGCTGTCCCAAGTGTTCCTATATTATCATGGCTAATAGTTCAGTGAAATGTGTCCATCTTTGGTAATGTTGGTATACATAATGCCCCTACAGTTCCTTTTCTGTTTGATAGTTTGTGACTCTAAATGCCCACTGTTACATGAATTAATTTATGAAAATAAATTTTTCTTGGAAACCTTTCAGATAATTGTCAAGGCTATTTTGTTCTTAGGGCTTGGTAGTAGATTTAAATTTTGTCAGTAATGATCCAAGGGTTAGGTTTCTGTTTTTGTTGTTTTTAAGTTGACATTCCAGAGCCTTGTATTAAACATTGTTCATTGCAGAATGGCCATCCTTTCCCAAAACCTGCCCGCCCCACCCCCCCTCCCCCCCCCCCCCCCCCCCCCCCCCCCACCCCCCCCCCCCTTTGGGTAGCCTCCCGAGGCTTGCAGAGCTTGGTGAAGTGGTCATCCCTTTCCCAGAGAAACTGGAACCTAGAAACAGTCTTTTGGAGCAGGGTCATATCCAGTTAAATTAAATCACTGGTAAAGTATTTGGGTTGTGATTTTTGTTTTGGGGGATAGGAGTGTGTTGTTTGAGACAGGATCTTACTATGTAGCCTCACATACCATAAGAACAAAAATCTGAGGTCCATTTAGGGTTCTACCCATCTTCTCATAGCCTAGGCTTATTAAGTCAGTCTGTTGGGATTACAGGCAAACTGCAGTGGGCTAGGTGTGGTGATTTGTGCCTGTACTACCAGCACTGGGGAGCTTAAGGCAAGAGGATGGCCACAAATTCAAGGCCTGTCTGGGCAATAGATCGAGGCCCTATCTCAGAAAATAAAACAAAATTAGTATTGCAACTCATTTTCTCATGACAGAGGAGCCAGTGAAATGTTTCATATGTGAGGACTGTCTCTGAAGAAAGAGTATAAATGCAGTAGGCTCCGTTCATGTAGCTTTGAAACAGTCTCCTCTCCTAACCTGTCTTCCTAGTTGAATGACTTGAACAGTTCATGACAGTGCAGTGAAAGTGTGCTTTTCTTCTCACCAAGCAAAAGCAGTGCCTCGTTTTCCTCTTGGGCTCTGAGATTGAACAGCAAGGAACTCCATCCATGCCATGTTTCCTGCTTGAGAAGTGTCTTGTATGATGCCTGTGTTGATGCTTGTCAAAGAGCGCTTACCCACACACAGCTAATTGACAAGTAAGGCATTGTTACTAAACATCTCACATCACAGATTCTTCTTAGCATTGGTGAGGCCTCCTGAGTGAGAGGGCTAATCTTGATGCAAGATTCCTCCAGATGAGTTTAGATGAATGACTCATTTGTAGAAAACTCATTTGTACAGTTCTTCTGGAACTTCTTTCAAGAGGTGTTCTAGAAAAGCACATGTGAATGGGCTTCATCCTGAGCCCTTGTATTCAGGAGTGGATTAGACCCACTCGCCCCCACTACACCATCGTGCTTGCTGCTTCCTTGCAGGGACCACACCTCCTTCACTCTCCCGCATGCTTACCTCCACTACTTCACTCACATCTTTTCATTGCCAGATCATTGGTCATGAAAGTGGTCTCCTCCTATTCCATATCTCCTTCCCTCATGCCCCAAAGCTTTTTGTTGTAGCCCCACCACCTCCTTGTCTGTGTTAATAACTATAATATGAGCTCTTCAAGATCAGGACCTTTTATTTTGTTAGCTCTAGTCCCTCCTGGCCTCTTTGGTAACTAGAACAGTGTTTGATATTTACAGCTGTTTACCGCCTAAACACCATTTTGGTCAATAAACTTCGTATTACCATAAGATAGTAATGGAGCTGAAAATTCCTGTAGCCTATCAAGGTTACAGCTGTCATGATGTAATGCGGTGTATTCCTCAGGTCTTGGTGTTGGTGCAAACAAGCCAGTGTGTTGCTACTCGTGTAAAAATGTAGCACAGTTGTGTACAGTACATACTTAATAGTGCTAATAAATGGCTTACTGATAAATGTAAGTTTTTATTGTATTAGAGTATATTCTTGTTTTTATTAAACTGTTTTTCAGTTTTATTTATTATGTATACAGTGTTCTACCTACATGTACACCTGTACGCCAGAAAAGGGCACTAGATCTCATCATAGATGGTTGTGAGCCACCATGTGGGTGCTGGGAATTGAACTCAGGACCTCTAGCAAAGCAGTCAGTTCTCCCAACCTCTTTGCCATCTCTCTAACCCCTTTATTTATTATTGAGAGACAGTCTTACTATGTAGTCCTGGCTTGCCTGGAACTCACTATGTAGAACAGACTGGCCTCAAACTCAGAGAGTTATGAGTAAAAGCTTACTGGACAACAGGCAGCAGCCTCAGCCTCCCATGTTCCATGTGTTAAGAAGCCACACAAGGGTAGGAATGTAGTTCTGTGGTAAAGGAGTTGCCTTGCATGTGTAGTGTCTCAGGTTCCATCTCCAGTTCCACCTCCCTCCCTCTGAAAGCAGCCACCCTGGATAACAGACTTCTATCATCTAGGTTTGTGTAAGTGCACTGTTGGCATTCACAATTTGACATTCACACAAAGAAGTTACCTAAGCAACATCTAAGGACACATTTCTCAGAATGTCCCTGTGCGTGATCAGGTGATGGCCTCCTCAGAAAAGCTTTATAAATAGATAAGTAGATTTCCCATGTATGGCTGCTGTACAGACCAGCCCAAGTCCATTTCAATGGCTCTTTTGTTTGTTTTGTTTTGTTTTTTGTTTTTCGAGACTGGGTGTCTTTGTGGCTTTGGAGGCTGTCCTGGAACTAACTCTTATAGACCAGGCTGGTCTCGAACTCACAGAGATCCACCTGCCTCTGCCTCCTGAGTGCTTGGATTAAAGGTGTGTGCCACCACTGCCGGCCTTCAATGGTTCTTTTAATACTTGAAGATGACAGCCGGGAGGTGGTAGTGTATGAAAATACAAAAACAAAGAAAAACACATGAAGATGGCTTGATCTCTGTCTCTCTCTCTCTCTCTCTCTCTCTCTCTCTCTCTCTCTCTCTCTGTCTCTCTCATTCCTTGTCATTCCTCGAAGAGCCTGTATAATGGCTGCTTGGGTTCTGATAACACAGTGTCTGTTTATATGCAGTTCCAGGAACGGATACTCTGAAGGCCTTCACCATTGGATTGGCTCACTGGAAGTGGCATCAAATTGGAGTCACCTACTTGGGTATACATGTCAGGATAGTACAGTTGGATATTTGCATTAGGAATCCTTTTAAAGGTCTCTCCCTCCCTCTTTACACACACACACATACACTTTTTGTTTTCATTTCCTGAGAATGGCCTTGTACTCCCTCCCCATTCTCCGACCTCGGCCACCTGAGTACTGAGGTTTACAAGTACATGTCACCATGCCCACCTTTAAATAATACTGCTTCCTCTTTTTAAAAATTAAATATTTTAAACTATGTGTATTATGTAGGGTAGTGAGGAGTATATGCACATGAATGCAGTACTTGCAGAGGCCGGAGGTACCAGATGGGGAGCTGGAGTTAATAGGCAGCTGTGAGCTGCCTGACACAGGTGCTGGGAATTGAACTCAGATCCTCTAGAAAAGCAGCACATGCTCTTAACCACTGAGCCACCTCTTTTGCCTCATCCCCACCCCACCCCTTTTAAAAAGATGGCTTTATTTTTATATATATGAATGTTTTGCATGTGTATATGTAAGGGTACTGTGTGTGTGTGTGCCCGTGGAGGCCAGAAGAGGTTTCTAGATACCCTGGAATTGGAGTTACCGGTTATAAGCTGATGTTTGGTACAAGGAACCAAACCAAGATGCTCTGAAAGGAGCTCCGACCACTGCTTTGAATCACTGTGTCATCTCTCCTCTCCAGACACTTTGAAACAGGATTTCATGTAGACAAGGAATTTGTGTGTGTGTGTGTGTGTGTGTGTGTGTGTGTGTGTGTGTGTGTGTGTAGGTCAAAGGACAACTTTGTGGAGTTGATTTTCTCCTTCCACCAAGTGGATTCTGATGATTGACCTTGAGTTCCAATTTGACAGCAAGTACCCTCTTACAGGCCCTACTTTCATATTTCCTTAAAACAAGGTATATTGGGATGGGCATGTAGTTCAGTTGGTAGAGTGCTTGCCTAGCAATCAAGAAATCCTAGATTAGAGCCCCAGCAGCACATTAAACAGGTGTGGTGGTACATACCTTTGACCCTAGCATTGGAGAGATGAGGCAGGAAAATCAGGAGTCCAAGGTTATATTCAGCTACATCGTGATTCAAGACTTGCATGGGGGCTCCATGAAGTTCTTCCTTGAAACAAAAACCAGAAGCCGGGTGGTGGCGGCGCACGCCTTTAATTCCAGGACTCAGGAGGCAGAGGCAGGCGAATCTCTGTGAGTTAGAGACCAGCTAGTTCCAGGACAGCCTCCAAAGCCACAGAGAAACCTGTCTCAACCCCCCTCCCCCCAAAAAAACAAACCAGAAGTTCCAGAAATGCAGAGAGCAAATAAGAAGCACCCACATTCCCACCATCCTTAATAAGGATTGAGGAATGAGAATGTAGCTCAGTGGTACAGTGTTTTGACTGGAGTGCACTGGGCCCTAGGTCCAGTTCCCAGCAATACAGAAAACCAAAACCAAACAAAAAACAATATAATAAGGATTGGCGGTCTTGCCCCAGCCATCCGCCATGGTAGGTGGATGAACGGCCCAAGCTAACATGGGGTTAGTGAGTTAAACAACTGCAATGAAGCCTCCTGCTGTTTGCATCAAGCTTTCACCTGCCTGGTGATTGGGGTCACTGTGGTCCTGGGCCGAGATCCCAGGGGTCTTTCATTTGGGGGCTCATCCTGGATTTTCGACCACCCCTCACTTGAGTGGATTCGATCTTGGAGGTAAGCGGGTACCCTATTCTCTCATCTGTCTCGACTACTGTCTGCCGGCTCTGTCTATTCCGTAAAAGCACTTTCGGTTTTCAGTTTGCAGTTGTCCTGGCGGTCGTGAGACTACCCGGACTGCGATAGGTAGACATGCCTTGAGGATCACAGACTCCTGCCTTGGGGGACGCCCCAAGGAGAGGAATGGAGGCCCAAGGACGCTTGGACCCAACTCAGATAGCGGTGATTGTAGCAGCCTGGTTCTGTCACCCCTCAGCCTGGTGCCATTGCCTTATAAGCGGTGCAGACTGGTTGGGTTGGCATCTGTTCTTTTCTGTGTATTCTTTCTCT